AAAAAAAAAAAATAATAAAAACAAACTCAATTCTGCAAATACCAAGAAACTCCTTTTTATTGGTATTGAATATTGCTTTCGAAGCATCTTCTATACATTTAAATCGTATAAAACCGCATCCAACTAAGCTTCCATCTGGACGTTTTAAAAGGTTTACTTCTGTAATTTCACCAAACGGTTTATAAAATTTTTTTATATCCTCTTCTGTTACCTAACAAAATATAATTATATCATATCTTTTAAATTAAATATAAAAGATTAAATTATATATTACCAGGAATGTATTTTTGGGATATATGTATATATGTGTATATATGCAATGTTATTTTTAAAACTTTAATCAATTGAAATAGTAATATATTTCAAGTATTTAAATAGATACCTTGAAAGGTAAATTTCTCACTATTATTCGAGAATTTTGACCATTTTCTTCCGCATTGTCTGTATTATTGTCTGTGTTACTTTTTTTTAATTTTAATTTTTGTCGATATATCCAAGATTTACCATTTCTTTGTCCTAAACATATATAATACAAGTGTTAATTACATAAATTGAATTAAATTACTACTTTTAAATAATATTATCGAAATTCTTACCATAATATGGTTTACCCATGGTGTAAGTAACAAGGTGTGCTATATTCTCGGACGAATTTTCGTCACATTCTGCGCAGCACCAAGTTTCAACGTAAATTCACATAAATTACATGAACAAAAAATTTTATTCTATGGGTTACAGTTGCACATATATTGCACGTGCTCATACTGCTAAGGGTGCGTTCAAAAATATTATCCATGGAGTGAAGTAACGTTTAATTGACCAATCAGGACAAAAATGAATAAAGATTCCTTTGTTCTGATTGGTCAATTCAATTCAGTTACTTTTATTCCATGGCTAAGATCTTTGAACGCACCCTAATCTCAAAGATACTAGATTCAATAAATCTCGCAAACTAATATCGATTCTAGTAAACTTTCCATCGAGGCTTTTGAAAGAAAAATAACAAAATGTAATAGAATATATTTTGTAGAAAAACAAAAAATTTTACACCCTTTTGGAATCCAGCTCAAAATAATTAAAACAATCCTTAAACATTATGAATAGTTTAAAATTTAATTTATATGCAAAATTATTTTTCGGAAATTACCTTCTCTCTCTAATAACTTATACACACGTACATGCGTAAAATCCATAATCAATACAGTAGTTGTTGACGTAGTTGTTTCACTTGAATAAAACAATTTAATGTGGCAGAAGGTAATTGAAATTAAGATGTAGAGATGACAAAGAGGAAGAAAGAATCTGTAGGAGTGAAGCAGAGCAACATACTTGCGAAATAAAGTTGTGTAAAATTAGAGCGTGATAAGAGAGTAATTTTTCGAACCGATTCGAAGAGGGCGCGAAAGCCGATGGCGCTTACGTTCTAGCGACTGCTTCGCGCGCTGCTCGCGCCCAAAGCGAAATCGATACCGCG